GTGATGAAAATTGATCACATTTTTCTCAATGGACAACAATTCATATAAAGTATGTACAGATGTGAATATGTTAATAATTCATAATACTAGTACTACTACTACTACTAGTAGCATGCACATAACTAGGAAGGCATACTAGTAACCACCTTGTGTAAAATAGTACTGCTACTATTTATTATATTAAGATATCTAGTAATATAGTACGTCCGTTAACTGTTTCTCAACCGGTTTGTACCTGTTTGTACCCCAAAATTTTCGACTCGCAACCTAAAAGGTTTATTCCGTACCACGTCCGGTACAGAAGAAAAAATTAGGCACGTTACATACCTTTTCAACAAATTCGCCCACAAATTTAGAAAACTCCTCCCTCTATTGCTCATTTGACTCATTTGATTTGATATGAGTTGATACCAACAAGCCAGATCCACGTTTTCAAAAAAATGATCAGTTGAAGCGGGAAGGTGGATATCCAAATCGCCAAAAGGACCCCAATTTTGGATAATTCAACCCCGATCATCATCATATCAAACACAATGACCAAAGACCAAAGACCACAACAACGCGATTCTATTTGATCATCATCTGTTATCAATATTGATCACAGATGACAACCAGATGGACTACTGCTGATGATTTTCCATGGACAGATCATAAAGGTGGATGTCCAAATCGCCAAAAGGATCCCAATTTTGGATAATTCAACCCTGATCATCATATCAGAAACGAAGACCAAAGACCATGACAATGGGATTCTATTTGATCATCATCTGTTATCAATATTGATCACCGATGAACACCAGATGAATTTCTGCTGATGATCTTCCATGGACAGATCATAAAGGTGGATATCCAAATCACCAAAAGGACCCCAATTTTGGATGGTTTGACCTCCATCATCATCATATCAGACACGAAGACCAAAGACCACAACAACACGATTCTGTTTGATCATCATCTGTTATCAATATTGATCACAGATGACAACAAGATGGACTGCTGCTGATGTTTTCCATGGACAGATCATAAAGGTGGATGTCCAAATCGCCAAAAGGACCCCAATTTTGGATAATTCAACCCCGATCATCATAATAGTACTAGTAGTCAAACCAGTAACACGCCAAAATAGTAGTAAAACCAGTAACACGAGTACATTTCGTGGAAATGCTGTTGAACCACATGATCAGTTGTCATACAAAGTTGATATATTTGAGG